TACATATTTATAAATGGACGTAGTGCAGTGATGGTAATTGAAACCACGAAAACGTTAAATTCTGTACATAGATACTACTCTGCGATGGTAGCACAGTTCGATTGGTTTTTTGTTATGCTGTAGCTAGCGACAAGCATTGCGAATGCTATGTCGTCGAAATGCGCGGCTACGGGTATACCATGTCATGGCCGAGCGGGCGCGTTTTAACTTTAGGCACTAATCCATATTGAAATGCACTCACTTCCAGAATCCAGGTACGTACTGAACTACGACATACTATAATCGGCAAGTACTATTTGCGGCGCCACGAGATGTGAACAGAATACTTTGAATAAATCCAAAAAGTCATACTTCGGGTAATTTCTATGTATGCTGCCTGCTCCGTATGCATTTGTAGAGTTTTAAATTTTTTTAACATTCAAGAGAAGCAATGTTGTTGCGCTTTTGGTCTACTTCGCCATCGATATACTGACCATACGGGTGAGGCTAGGATGTATCTCAACCGCCATACTACAACAATGAATCTACCATAAGTCGCTACCTCTGGTCTCTATTTCAGGACAAGTACCAGCCTTTGTTTCGTTTGAGGTTATAGGGAACATCTCACTTGGCCCCGCTTCTGGTCGACATCCGCCTACTTCATCAATCCCATGCAGTACTGAACACTGGGCCTATATCAGCCCTGTAGCATAATTTTTAAGTTGAAAAATAGCCCATACGCCCCGTATTTGGGTCAGAAGCAGCCCACATATGCGCCTGTACGCACCCGTTCCTACAATAATAATGCGGGGTAGCCTGCTACCTCGTGGCACAGTGGTCCGGGCTCACAAGCGCGAATATGGTGCTTTGCGTGAGGATGAGTACGTTGTCACTCCCATCCACACCGAAGGAGAAGATGACCGACCCCAAGGAGTTCTGCAGAAAAATCAAGCGTTGATCTGGGTACACTTTTATCTCGATTTGACTCTGGTGTGGTATTATACTTATGGTCGTCATACAACGAGAGATAGTAGTCTCAGAAGATAATAAAAGGGGCACCAACATGATCGAAGGGTATGATTGACCTCAAGAAAATATGCCATATATATACGCGAATATATAAAACAATATGTGAGGATAGCTGACAGAAAAACAATCCACCCCCAAAACACTCTGCCATATGTTTAAAAGAGCATGTAAAGCAATATGAGAGGGTAGCATACAGCTAAGATGTTATAAGAGACTAGCATGATAGAAGTTGTGAGATAGAATGATAGCTGATAGAAGGTGGAACTAAAAAAGTACAATTTCAGCGAGGGAAGAGTCGGCAAAACATTACGGTCGGCTTCTGTACTGTCGAATCTTGAGGAGCAAGACAACGTACAGTATTAATTAAAGCTGGTGACCGATACAGGGAAAATGGCAGAATCTGATCTTAGTAATACAGAACAGATATAGGGCATATCTCGCAGTATAGAGGCAATAGTACAAAACTTACATCAGCAAGCAAAACTAGCAGTATAGAGGCAACAGTACAATGCTTACCTCAGCCACCGTGCACGGCCGCGAATTTGTCGTCGGCCCGGTATCCGTGCACTGTACTGTTTTGACTGTGGAATTACTGAAGATACCGCTACCTGCGACATAAGGACGTACAAAATATTTAGGGGCGCGTAGGTATACTCTTCACAAACGGATGGAGAATGGGGAGGCAATGAGGTGACAAGCCTGCTAACGGGTTAACGGCCGATTTCATCTTCATAGTAAGCGAGTCTTGGTTATTCTGACGGAACACACTGATTTGCTTGAGAGACAAAAAAATAACTTTGGAAGCGTAGATAGTACATGAAACTGTTAACAGTCAGGTGATCGCATATTTGTGTTGCCAATAGCAAGCTCAATATTACACTAGTCTGTATTTGAAAGCCAAGGAACGAGAGAACCAAAATTGTTGCACCTCTAATCCGAATATTTGGGGCACTCTGTACAGCTAATGCAACTGAACTTACTGTAAGGTGTTTCTTTCGCCGCAAACATAATGCCATACAGATCTCCGAAGAAATAGTCCACTTGGTCATTGGGGAAGACAACCGCAGCCGTTGTATTAGGAACGAAGACCCCTCCTACACCAAACGAACCAAAAGATAAGGTATTAAAGCATATTGCATATAGATGGCCACAGGAACGAACAAAAATTTTCAACAATTTACTTCATTCCCGCGAGCAGATTCACAACATACATGAGTGGAAAGGCAAGGTACAGTCATATATATATAAATAAATAAATATATATATATATATATATATATATGTATATTTATATAAACATACATACATACATACATACATACATACATACATACATACATACACACACACACACTCTCTCTCTCTCTCTCTCTCTCTCTACACACACACACACACACACACACACACACACACACACACACACACACACACCACACACACAGACACAGACACAGACACAGACACAGACACAGACAGACAC